ATTTTTGGAATATATGGTTTGTCACATACCATAAACATATCCAACACATGCCTGTTCCACTGCTGAATAAGGAATCTGTGCATCAGCTAAAGCATTCTGGCCTGTAAGAACAAAAGAATTTTATTAAAAAGTGCTTTAAGTATTTGTTTTAAATGGTAAAAATTAAGTTTCACATTTTCCCAGAATATATCTACCTCTATATAGTCTACAGGGAGCTCTGGTAGCATAGTGCCTAAGGCACTAGACTGCTAACCAGAGGGCTGATGGTTCAAACCCACCAGCAACTCCTCGGAAGGAAGATGGGGCAATCTACTTCTGTAGTGATACTGCCTTGGTAACCGAAGGAGGGGTCACTATGAGTCGGGTCCGACTCGACGGCACATAACAACAACAACAACATATAGTCTACAAAGAGCTCTGGTGGCATAGTGGACTCTATGCCACCATTTGACTGCTAACCAAGAGGTCAGTGGTTCAAACTTATCAGCTGCTTTGTGGGAAACCAATAAGACAGTCTGCTTCTGTAATAATTATAGCTTTGGAAACCCTATGGGGCAGTTCTACTCTGTCCTAAAGGGCTGCTATGAGTCAGAGTTGACTTAAGCGCAGTGGGTTTGGTTTTTGGGGTTTTATATAGTCTATGGCCAATTCAAATGACAAATTCTTCATCAAATCATATCAGCTCTCTCCTTTCAGGGTTAATCATTTCTTCTCCACTACTGCCACACTTTTCCATACTTTGATACTTACTATTTTTTGTCTTTACCGTATAGCTAACTATGTTGTTGGTGTTAGTCACTGTGCAGTCAATGCCAATTCATGGCGACCCCATGTGTGCAGAGTAGAACTGCACTCCAAAGGGTTTTCAAGGCTGTGAATTTTCAGAAGCAAAATCACCAGGTCTTTCTCCCATGGAGCTGCAGGGTGAGTTCAAACCACAAACCTTTCACCATGGCACTTTCAATTCCCTGCACCCCAAACTACCAAATCCACTGTCAGCAAGTTGATTCCAACTCATAGCAACACCCACTGGGTCTCCAAGGTGGTGAATCTTTATGGAAGTACATTGCCTCATCTTCCTTCCGTGAAATGGCTGGTGGGTTTGAACCACCAAACTTCTAGTTAGCAGTCAAATGCTTTAGGCACTGTACCACCAGAGCTCCTTGATTCCCTGCACAGCAATGTCTGAACATTGAGTAGACTTACTAGTTCAACTTAGAGTTGAAACAAAATCTATGTGAACTGGAGAAAAGCAGGAAAATCTGGGAAATACCCACAGTAACTCTTTTTGGGCTGCCTGGCAATGAGCTGGTAAAGACCAGGATGATTCCCAGGAGGGGGGCCATTCCTAACAACTTTCCATGGGATCAAGGAGCTCCCAAGGTTTCCATGTGCCTGGTTGAGTAGCTGGGCAGCTGGTGGCAGTTAATCCCCATGAGGAGACTGGCAATCAGCTCCATGGTAGGATCTACCATGAGCATCTGGGTAGCTGCCCTTGGGTATATGGTCTGCTTCTTGTATATAAGGAGAAGCCTTTGGGAATGGTCTCTAGCCTATGGCACACTTGGACCCTGCACGTAGCCATGTCATCGCTCAACAGCCTGCTATGCTCTGCTGACCTTGGGACTTACACTGGACTTAAGTTAATGGCCTGCCGTGTGTGGTTTGGTAACATCAGGACTGTGCCTTTTTACTTGTCAACCTTGGGGCTTCTCAGCCTCAGCAGCCAGCAGCTGTCTGAGTCAAGAAATGCCTCTAGATGAGAAAGACATAGAGAGGTACGTGGGAGGTACAGACAACAAATATGAACCCTTTTGCACATACAGTACTGTGTTGTCTGTGAAGGCTAACATGGGTATATGGGTGGATAGATGGGTGGACAGGCTGAACGATTAGGTATGTCTATGAAATGGGAAGTGTATCCAAGAACATATGTGGAGTTGGCAGACAATGGTCCTATAAGTTTATGTGAATGATCAGAATTCCCAGGTGTATAATAGAGCTGACAAGGGGCAAGGTTGTGGTCACAGCTTGGTCACAGCTAGCTACCCAGAGGGACTGAGTAGTTGAACCTGCGGGCTCGGGACCATAGTCGCAGGGGACATCAAGCTCAATTGGCATAACATACTATACAAAACATTGTTCCACCTCCTACTTTGGTGAGTAGCGACTGGGATCTTAAAAGCTAGCAAGCTGCCATCTAGATGCAATCATGGGTCTCTCCTCATCCAGAGCAGAGAAGAATGAAGAAAACCAAAATTCATGGAAACAATTAGTCCTAGCAGACTGGTACACCATCCAATCTGCAGCCTATATGACTATGAGACCAGAAGAACTAGATGGTGCCCGGCTACCACTGTCATCCACTTGAAAGGGGATCTATGTAGGAGATCCTGGATAGAGAGGGAGAACAATGTGGAACAAAACTCAAAATCATTTGGAGAAAAAAAAAAGCGGGGGGGGACCAGGTTTGCTGGCCAATAGAGCCTGGTCGAACCCCTGAGGCTATGGCCCCAAGCTGCCCTTCAGATCTGGAATTGAACCCACAGCTGTGGTTTCCAGCCAAAAAAAGACAGGCATATGAATTGAACATTTACCTCAAGTAGATACACTCCTTGGAGAGAACAATCATGGGAGAAAGAAGGGCTACTTATGTACAGGGAGACAGCTCAGGGGGCAGGAGTCCATGGAGGGATGGACACAGGCAAGAGATAACTATGGGGAGGAAGTGGGAGGGGAGCTGTTGCATTGTGGTAAACTGTGGTCAATGTCATGAGACAAAGTATATGTGAACTGCTGTATGGAAAGTAAATTTGCTCTGTAAACCTTCACCTAAATCACAATAAAAAAAAAAAAAGAAAGAAAGAAATGCCTCTAGCTCCAGTGGGCCGGAAGCAGGAGGCAGAGCTGGACCCCAAGGTTAAGGGGCTTTCACCCAACCCCTAGAGCCTGGCACTTTGAACTTGGACTTAAAGCCTCCAAATTGTGAGAGAATAAATTCCTGTTGGTTAAGGCAATCCCATTTGTGGTATATTCCTGTCAGAGTGGTACTAGGTAACCAGAACAATGGTTTTTTCCAGCACTCTCCTAAAAAACTGACACCAAAACTTAGACTTCTTGGCCTGGGGTCTAAAAATCTATTTCCACCATGAAAAGACGCTCTACTAACTTGTTCTCTTAAGACAGAGAGAAAATGAACAATGGAAGATGAGGTCTCTCTGGGGGAATCATATTCACAGATAGGCCAGCAATAGTCTGGCCCAAGCATGTATCTCTGCAGAAGGCTCATGATAGAAAAGAATCCTCTATGTTGACTCAGTGAAGTGAAAAGAAATTACATATAGATATTTAATACAATGTAAATGTAATTATCTCCTTTCCAGGAAAGGAAGACACTAATTTTGTTATAACTCCTAATACACAATATGATTAAGTTATCTCTTTAGCAACCCTACCTTTGTCTACCACAGATCCCTTTACTGTTCCAATAAATATCTGGATAACACATAAAATTACAGGCCATTGTCCACTCTGGCTATAATCTGCTAAGAATGCCCATACTCTTTCCCTACCCTCTCTTCCCAGTGAGTTACTGGATTCTTCTCCTTTAACGGGGCTCCACTTTGTGGTTGTCAAAGCTGCTCTACTCATGAACTCAAGACAGACCACACAATAGATTATGAATGTTCGAAGCTCTAAATGTTCTATATTACCTGCTTCTTTGACCAATTCAGGATAGTCTCTTGAATTCTTTTCTCCAGGCTTCATAAACTAGAAATACAGAATGAGATAATAAATAGAAACTAGTTAGAGTTTCATAGCTGAGCATCAAAGAAATCCATTCCTCTATTCATTCAAACAAAACTATATTGATGTATATGACTGTTGAACACAAACGAAATCTGCTTTGCAAACTTTCACCCAAGTCACAATAAAAAAATATATATATATTGAGCCTTTATATATTCTCAGCAACAACAACAAAAATATTGAGCATCTATCATATTCATGGACTCTGATATGATGATGATGATAACTTTGCCCTCAAGGAACATCCAGTCCAGTAGAAAACAGGCAATTACATTATAGTCACATAAGTATAGAATGGTTTGGGAGAGACAAGTATCCAGCCTTGAAGAGAGGACAAAATAGGCTTCCCAGAGGAAATGATATTTAAATTAAGTCCCTAAGGAAGAAGAGTTAACCAAAAGAGAGGGAAATTCTAGAGTAAAGGCCTGACAGTGAGAAAATATGGCATGATGTAGCAACTGCAAATTTAATACAGCAGAGGCTGAAGCACAAAGTGGGAAGTGTAAATAATATTGTCATTGTAAAATAATAGATACAAACACACACACACACACACATGGCCTAATGGATTGCTTTAAGGAAAACACTTTTGCAACCACGAACCAAAGCAAGAAACAGAACCTTGCCTGCCACCCCAGGAACTCCTCTACATACCCTGTGTCAACATTCCCTCAAAAGTAATTACCACCCTGTGTCTTATAGCAATCACTTCCTTGCAATATTTCATAGTTTTATCAACCACATTTATATCCTTAGTAAAGTTTAGTCTTGTACATTTTTAAAAATTTTGAGAATCTTTCAATCTACACGTTCCTCTCTATCAATTTTTTTTCCTTTCAATGAGGTACTTCAGACTCATCATTGTTCTTTAAGAGTGCATAGTATTCCATTGTGTATATGTACCACAGTTTTTTTATCCATTCATCCATTGATGGGCACTTAGGTTGTTTTCTTTTTTTTTTTTTTTTTTTGGTTCCTATTGTGAATAACGCTACGATGAACATGAGAGTACATGCATCTATTCATGTCACGGCTCTTATTTCTCTAGGATGCCTAGTAGTGATATTGGAGGATCATACTGTATTTCTAACTTTTGAAGGACACACTGTACCATTATACACAACGGTTGTACCATTTTACAGATGTAAATTTTTTAAAATTCTAACTTTCTGTTGAATTTTATCATTGGCAACAAGTAAGTACTGCCAATTGTTTTCCTTTAAGTGATGAGCTTATTCCATTCATTTTTGAGAAAAGTCTGTCATATACCCAAATCTAAAAAAGTGTAGTATATCTGCCAGTCACCCTCTCAAGTAAAACTGGTGGTTTCATGAAAGACGGCAGCTGGTTCAGTTCACAATGCAAATAATCTCACAAGTGTTTTTCCTTCATAGTATGCAAAAGTGCTTTATGCATACTTCCCATTATCACATACAATACTGAAAATACACATTCTCAAGTTTTAAGAGTAAATAAAATTAACAATTGTTTCCTGCCTGCCTCATCAAGGGCAGTCTTAATCTTCGGTGAAACTGACTTTTTTTTTTCCCCTGTGAGCACAGGAGTGCACAAAGAATACAGGGACTACTAGTACAGTTTGGTGCCACTCCCTTGACTCGTGCTAAGGTACCAGCAAATGTCAACACATAACGAAAAAAAGGCAAATAGTATCTAAGTGTTAAGAATAGTTTTGACCCCTCTGAACCCCGAAAAAGGGTCTCAATACCCAGAGGTCCACAAACTACATTTTGAGAATCTCTGCTAGATCCATTAATTCACTGGGCTACCAAATGGTGATATTCTATCATTTCTTTATCACTTATTAATTAAAATATTTTTTATAAAACACTATGCCTCATCTACTATTTTGATTACCCAATAGGCCAGTTCATACAGCCAAACCAAATCCACTGCCGTCAAGTCGATTGTGACTCACAGTGACCCTTTAGGTCAGAGTAGAACTGCCCCATAGGGTTTCCAAGACTGTAAATCTTTATGGAATCAGACTGCAGCTGGTGAGTGTGAACCACCAACCTTTTGGTTAGCAGCTGAATGCTTTAACCACTATGCCACTTGAGTTCCTTATAGTTCATATAGTACAATAAATATATGATTCTTTACTTGCCAATTTTCAAGATAATGAATAAGTTTCATACTATTGCCCAAAGATGACAATTAGTTGGTTTTTTAGTACTATCATTAACTCATGTCCTTAAACATATTTGATGAGTTTCAATCCACTGCAATTATCTTTTTTGAAGTTCAAATTGTCTTTGGTCAGTAGAAGCTTCTTAAAGTTGGCTCCTGAATGCTTTTGACATAATCCCATTAGGCTTTGATAAGTTCCTCACAACTAGTCCAGGCTTATCTTGCACATTTCTGTCCCATATAGAATCAGTCACTTCTCCAACTAGCCATTTCTTTTCATGGGAAAAGATATTTCAAGACCAGAATTTGGATGTTAGGGATGCTTACTGCGCTGATTTGGTGATTGTTTCTAGACCACTTCAGTGGACAGTGCTAGAAAATTTAAAATACAATACCTCATAAATTCATACTGATAGTTCTAATTCAAAATCAGGATCATAGAATTTCTTATCTTTTCTGTACTGTACCTTTATCTCTTTTCTTCTACACCAAGAATCTCGGTTCTCAAGGACTAAGGGATGACTGCATTAGAACATCCTATACTTGCTCATGTATTTTATATAATTCAAAAATATTCCCATGTAACAATACTAATCCTAATACTCAGTAATATCATTACTATGGACAATATTCTCAATCTGTGTAAACACCTCATTTTCTTATTTGGTTATTTTTTAAGAACCTATCTCCAACTCTAGAACACTCTACATCTCTAAAATCTCTCTTAAAACCATACCCCTTGTGGTCAATTTTTTTCCCCTGAAGATCTTCCTCCTAGAACTTACTCTAAACTAAACTGGTGTGCTCTCTAAGTCTCTGTACAGTTGCCATCCTGGGACTATCCTCAACTGTTCTCCTATGTTGAATTCACTGTTCCCAAGATCCAGTGTCTTCTTTCTTAGTTTACTCCACCATTTTGGGGAACACATTCTCTAGTTAGCTTCATGAAAAGGGATGTGAAAAAGGTAAATTTTCAGTACTTGTATTGCAAAAAAAAAAATTTCTATTTCTATTCCTGAGCACTCTTGAGCACTTAGCACAGTGTGTGACACATCACAGGAGCTAAATTAATATGTACTAGCCCCAACCTTCTCAAAAATTAGCAATATCATCTTTGAACACTTTTATTCATGTAAGGAAAAACAGATACTATTATTTACAAGGAACTTCAAGATTTAAACCATATAGTATTCTAAGATTGATCAAGAGTTTACCACATACTTCCACCCAAATAAAAGACCGATGGCATATGGGCTAACCATTTACATCAGGTAGATACACTCCTTGGAGAGATCAATCACAGGAGAACACAAGGGCTGTGTTTACACAGGGAGACTGCCTGCTGCGTGGGGGGGGGGGGCAGTGCATAGGAGGGAAGGGCGCAGGAAAGAGGTAACTATGGGGAGGAAGTGGGAAGAGAGCTGTTACATTGTGGGAAATTGCAGTCAATGTCATGAGACAAAATGTATATGAACTGCTGTATGGAAAATGAATAAAAGTTTTACCACATATAAGAGTTAAAGTATAGACAGGAGTTGTTGTTGTTGTTGTTGTTGTTTGCCGTTGAGTCGGCCCTGACTCATAGCGACCCCTCCTTGGGTTTCCGAGGCAATATCACTACGGAAGTAGGATTGCCCAACCTTCCTTCCAAGGAGTGGCTGGTGGGTTTGAACCGCCAGCCTTTTGGTTAGCGGTTAGCAGTCAAGTGCCTTAGCCACTATGCTACCAGGAGTAAAGAATGCTAATTTCACATAGCAATTGAACCAGAAAAGCATATTACCTTCAGACTGAATGATCAATTGCATAATCATGATCATATTAGCAGAAGTAATAAAACCAGAGATGAACTTAAGACCAATAACTTTTAAGGGAATTTGCTCTGTACAATAAATGGGGGTGTGAGGAGAAGAGATAGAAAAATGAAAGAAAAAGGTTCTGAAAGCAGTGAGGATCTGTACCTCTAAATTGGCTCCTGAATCCAATGTAGAATTATATAAAGGAAAACATCTACTTATCCTTTAAAATCCAACTCAAATTGTACCCATTCCTTGAAATCTGTCACTAATTTTTTTCTACCATTTGTAATAACAAAATGTTAGGTGTGGTAGAGTCGATTTTTCCAGTCATTGCAACCCCAGGTGAAAGAGCAGAACTGCCCCATCAGGTTTTCTAAGCTATAACCTTTCGGATGTATAAAAGTACTAAGCAGATCACCAGTTCTTTCTACCATGGAGTGGGTAGGTTTGAACTTTCTGTACTCTTTTCTTGTCTCTGTGAGAACACTTATTTTTATGTTTATTTATGTAGATGTCTGTCCCTTAATCCCTGTCTCATCAGTGCCCAAAAAATTGAAGCAGTTGAAGTTTTATGGCTAGGGAGCAGTAGAACAGCCTGGCGAAAGACACTAGCTCTATAACCTGGTTTAAACAGCTGTATGACCTTAAGCAAGCTATTTCTGACTCCCAGAGTCTCAAAGGGTTTTAGAGTACTAAACAAGTTGATACATGTAAAGTGCTTGAAACTGCCTGGCACAAAATAAGTGCTACACCTCCAAACCTCTATGACAAACTGATGGCCTGCTGTCAACCAAGTGGTAAATGTAACTTGGATGTATTAAAACCTATTGACATCCAAGGCAAATGTAAGCTGGCTATGTTAAAACCTGTTGATAACCACCAGAGGAATTCTAACTCATTTCCTACAATGAATAATAAAACCTTATTAAGAGAACTTGAAGTTACCCAAGGAATTCAACTTAGCTATTCAAATTAATAACCATACCATAGGAACCTAACCAGTTGAGATTCTCTTCATCAACCCCTACTCCAATGCCCAGATGACCAAACCCAAAGGGAAGTACATTGGCCAAACAAGCATATAAATAAATAACAACCTTCTCCACTCCCCTTTCCTATCCCATGTCCCCCTCCCATCTTTCTTCTCTCAGAAGATTGTAACACCTCTCCCACCTCCACCTCTACCTCCCAATTTGAAAAAATATAAATACACTGCCTACTTTCCAAAAGGTTAGACCACTCCATACTCTTCTATGTTGGTGGTGGTGGTGGTGAATGCCATGGAATTGATTTTCAATTCACAGCAATGACCCCATGTGACACATTAGAACTCCCCCAGAGGGCTACCCTGACAAAGTTCTACTCTGTCACATGGGGTGACTATGAGTCCAAATGGACTCAAAGACACCCAACAGCAATCTTTATGGGAAGTAGACTGCCAGATCTTCTTCCTACAGAGCTGCTGGGTGAGTTTGAATAGCCAACCTTTTGGTTATCAGCTGAGCATTTAACCACTGCAAGTGGACATTCAACAGTCAGTGGAAGATAGGACGATTTTGTGACGATTTCCTTTGTTTTCAATGACACATAATTAGCCCCATGGCCATTACTCGGTGGACTCCAGCTTTCTGTACTGTGTACATGCTAATAATGGTTTCCCTCATCCTGCAAGATTGTCTCTGTTTTTGTCCTAAGGCTTAATAAAAGGATCTCTATAGAAATGTTTGAATCTGGAGTCTTTCCCACCAGCCACTCCTGGCAAGGAAGGTTGGGCAATCTTCTTCTGTAGTGACACTGCCTCAGAAACCCAAGGAGGGGTCGCTATGAGTCGGGTCCAACTCAACAGCACATTACAACAACACAACAACACTCTCATAAAACATACCTGTTTAGTATTGTTCAACTAACATGCACTAAGAGTCCAGGCAGTGGGCATTTTCAAGGTGCTAAGAATACAGCAAGGAACCCTGGTGGTGCAATGGTTAAAGCACTCAGCTACTAATTAAAAAGTGGTTCAAACCCACCAGCTGCTCCACAGGTGAAAGATGTGGCAGTCTGCTTGCCATAAAGATTTACAGCCTTGTAAACCTTATGGGGCAGTTCTATTCTGTCCTATAGGGTGGCTATGAGTAGGAATCAACTGGCCAGCACACAGTGATAGAGCAATAAGACATGGTACTCATCCTGAAGGAGCTTAGATACTAAGGGAGAATATAGACATGTGGGCAGATTGTTCCAGTACATCATAGTAAAGTACTAAGATAGAGATGAGTACAAGGATCTGTGAGAAGGTCAGAAAGTTCAGAGGATGCCTAGAAAATGTAACACCTAAACTGATTTTTGCAGAATGCAAAGTTAATCGGGTGAAGAAAAACGGTACAAGGAGTGCCAACAGCAGAAGCAAAGCCACCGAGACAACAGAGTTATGCAAAGAAACTTATGGCTGTTTGTACCACTACCGCAAGGGGGTGCAGAGGGTGTCATGAAATGAACCTGTAAACCTGTGGCTTCCTAAGGAACAGGCTGACACCAGAGGAGCACAAAGGTCACAGGGTCCAGGAAACCCCACCAGTGCCAAGATCCTGAGCATATCCTCCCCATGCACACCTATAACTGCCCCCAAGAAGGGCTACTATAGTGGCTAGTCCTGGGTGTTCAGGGCTGATGACATTCACCACCTGCTCCCTTTTAGGATGTGAGGCAGCCCTTGTCTCGGTCCGAGCTACAAATACCTTGAGATTTCACTCAGGACCAAAGGACGTGAAGACCTCGGGTTACCTAGGGGACGCTTTAGCAAACTCTGACCTACGGAAAAAAAACAAAGACGAAAGCGAAATGGCTGGAGGAGTGACTGAGACATTACAACCCCCACCCCTCAACCCTAGACACAGCCTACACCCAGACGCACACTCAAGATGCCGCTCGGATACCCTGCGTGCCAAGAACCAGAAGCTGGGAGGTGGGACGCTCCCGGTGCCTTCCCTACAGTAAGAATGGGCCCGCAGCTTCAGGTCTAGACCCACAGCGGGTTTCTCAGTCACCTCGGTGCTCCCCCGGGTTCACCAAGGCAGAGTTTGGCAGGAAGCCCGCGTCGGAGATCCCCTACTTTGTTTACCTTGGTCATGCCAACCCCCACCACGAATACTCGGCGAGAGTCGTTACACTTCAAGAGGGCAGAAGCCATGATTTCGAGCAGATTAACGATAGAGCCCACCGCTACTGACTTTGCGTCCGAACTGACTGAAACTCAGCGGCGCTAAATTTCCCTTCAGGCCGTCTGGGGCGGGGCGAAAGCGGGAGGCGGTGAGGGGGCGGGGCACACGGGGGCGGGGAGCAAGATTTCCGGCGCGCGTGCGTAGAGGCCGAGCAAGAGGACAAGCGTGCGCCAAAGGGGGTGGAGAGTTTTAACTCTCCCTTAGAAGCAGGGCCGTAGGCTGGCAGTTCACAAGCGTGGTTTAGAGACAGAGTCCGGCTCAGCCTTTAAAAAAGAAAAAGCTTGCTAAATCACAATTTAAAAAAGAAAACAAAAAGCGTTATACCAGCCAGCACTTAATTATGCTCATGAAAACCAAAAAACCAAACTCACTGCCATGAAGTGGATTCCGACTCATAGCGACCCCCTTTGAGTTCCCCAGGCGGTAAATCTTTATGGAAGTAGATTGCCCAGATTTTTTCCATGGAGTGGCTGGTGAGTTTGACCCTCCAACCTTTTGGTTAGCAGTCAAATGTCTTAGGCACTACTAGGCCACCAGAGTTCCTGTGATATGTGAATTATGCTCATGAGGATCCCGTACATAGACCAAGAGGTAGTCATTGGAACAGAACAAGGGATACTGAATAGTTTAAAATCAGGAAGGGTGTGTGTCAGGATTGTATCCTTTTCACCATATTTATTAAAGCCGTATGATAAGTAATTTGAGAGGCTGTACTATATGAAGAAGAATGCAGCATTGGGATTGGAGGAAGACTGACAACCTGTGTGCACAGATGACACAACTCTGCTTGCTGGACTTGAAGAGGATTTGAAGCACTTACTGATGATTATCAAAGACTACAGCCTTCAGTATGGATTATACCTCAACATAAAGAAAACCAGAATCCTTAAAACTGGACCAATAGGCCAAATCATGATAAATGGAGAAAAGATTGATGTTATCAGGGATTTCACTTTACTTGAATCCACAATCAACATCCACGCAAACAGCAGTCAAGAAATCAGAACTTACTGCATTGGGCAAATCTGCTGCAAAAGACCTATTTGAAGTGTTTAAGACAACAATGGGCTCAGGTATAGCAGGGATTGTGGAGCTAGCACAGGACGGGGCAGTGTTTCATTCTGCTATGCATGGGGTCACTATGAGTCAGAGATGATGCCACCGCACATAACAAAGTGTTTAAGAGCAAAGATGTCACTTTGAAGACTAAGGTGGGCCTGATACAAGCCATGGTATTTTCTGTAACCTCATATGCATGTGAAAGCTAGACAGTGAATAAGGAAGACTGAAGAAGAATTGATGCATTTGAATTGTGGTGTTGTTGAAGCATATCGAAAATACTATAGACTGTCAGGAGAAAGAACAAATCTGCATGGAAGAAGGACAGCCAGAATGCTCCTTAGAAGCAAGTATAGCCAGACTTAGTCTCACCTACTTTTGTCACATCAGAGGGACTAGTTCCTGGAGAGGATATCATGCTTGGCAAAGTAGAGGGTGAGTGAAAAAGGGGAACACCCTCAAGAAGATGGCTTGTATCTATGCAGTGGCTGCAACTATGGTCACAAGCATAGCAAGGATTGTGAGAATGGTGCAGGACTGGGCGGTGCTTTGTTCTGTTGTGCATAGATAGGGTAGCTATGCGTGGGAACAAACTCAACAGCGCCCAACGATGACAATATATTACTCCACACCTCCAGGCCTCAGGTTAAGTCTTCAACTATGAGAGAGAGTGTAGCCTGGAGTAGGGCCTGAGACTGAGAGCAGCAGTTCCAAAAGTTGTCCAGACCTATTTTTTAAATTGGGTTCACAAGGCAGTGGTGGCACAATGAAATTCTTTAGAGTGTTGTAAATGTTCTATATCTTGTTAATGGTCGTGGTAGTTAAGGTTCTGTGTCAACTTGACTGGGCCCTGTTTTTGAGTGGCTGGGCAGCTGGATGTCGTTATTCCCATGATGAGGTTATAATCACCTCCATGGTGGAATCTGCTGTGAGTTGCCTTCGAGGTGTGGCCTGATTCCAGTATGTAAGGAGAAAGGTCTCTAGCTTTTTGGCACATTTGGATCCTGCATTTCTCTGAGATTTCATCTCCAGTTCCTGGACTTGAACTACGGCCTGCAGTGTTGCCTGCTGATCTTGGGATTGCACCATTTTGCCTGTCGATCTTGGGTTTGTAACCTCAGCAGCCAGCAGCTGTGTGAGTCAGAAGCAGCCTCTAGCTTGCTCCAGTGAGCCTGAAACAAGAGGAAGAGCTGAAGCCCAAGATCTAAGAGCCTTCACCCAGTTCCTAAATCTGGCACTCTAATTCAGACTTCTAACTTCCTAAACTGTAAGAGAACAAATTCTTGTTTGTTAAAGCCACCCATTTGTGGTATTGCTGCAGCACTTGGAAACTAAGATGGTGGTGGTTATAAGAAGCAATGCATGTGTTAAAACTCATAAGACTGTACACCACTAGAGGGAGAGAAAGGATGTTGTTATTAGGTGCACTTGAGACAGTTCCGACTCATAATAACCCTGTGTACAACAGAACAAAACACTGCCCAGTCCTGTGCCATCCTCACAATCTTTGCTGTGTTTGAGTTCAGTTTAACCACTGTCTCAATCCATCTCGTTCAGGGCCTTCCTCTTTTTTCACTGACCCCCTGCTTTACCTAGCATAATGGCTTTCTCCATCCTGAGATCCTGTCCTAAGTCCCTGAGATGAAGTCTAGCCATCCTCACTTCTAAGGAGCATTCCCACTGTATTTCTTCCAAGATAGATTTGTTCTCTATGGTATTTTCAATATCCTTCACCAACACCACAATTCAAATGCATCAATTCTTCTTTAGTCTTCTCTATTCATTGCTCAGCTTTTGCATGCATATGAGGCAATTGAAAATACCATACCTTGGGTCAGCCACACCTTACTCCTCAAAGTTACATAATTGCTTTATAACACTTTAAATAAGGGCCTGCCAAAGACTCCAAACAGCATCTCTATCTGCCACAGACCCTTCAAGCACCATTAGATCAGCCATATATCATTTGGCCCAAGTTGCAAAGCAGCTTGCATGGCAGTCTGAATTTGTTGCAGAGCCTTCTGTTGTTCTGGGCCCCACTCAAAACTAGCAGCTTTTTGAGTCACTTGATAAATAGGCTGAAGCAACACATCCAAATGAGGGATATGTTGCTTCCAAAATCCAAAGACATACAGCCCCAACTATGACAGCCATATTTTCCAACTACTGGTGATTCTTCTTTGTTTCCAACTTTTGCATTCCAATCACCAGTAATAATCAACATATCTCAATCACATGTTTTGTCAATTTCAGATTGCAAAGATGGTAAAAAAAAAAAAATCTTTAATATCCTCATCTATGACTTTGGTTTTTGGTGCATAAATTTGAATAATAGTAGTATTAACTGGTCTTCCTTGTAGGCATGATATTATCCTATCACTGACAGCATTGTACTTCAGGATAGATCTTGAAACATTCTTTATGATGATAAATGCCACACCATTCCTCTTCAATTTGTCATTCCTGGCATATGCTTGTCTGATTCAAAATGGCCAAAACCAGTCCATTTCAACTCACTAATGCCTAGGATGTCAATCTTTATGTATTCCGTTTCATTTTTGACAACTTCCAATTTTCCTAGATTCATACTTCATACATTCTATGTTCCAATTATTAATGGATGTTTGTAGCTGTTTCTTCCCATTTTGAGTCGTGCCATTTTGAGGTCTCGAAAATTTTACTCCATCCTCATCATTAAGGTCGGCTCTACTTTGAGGAGGCAGCTCTTCCACAGTCATATTTTGAGTGCCTTCTGACCTAAGGGGCTCATCTTCCAGCACTATATTGGATAATGTTTCAGGGCTTTTCAAAAAGTTATCCAGTAATATATCAGACAGTGTTTCACTGCTATTCATAAAGTTTTCACTAGCCAATTCTTTGAGAAGTGGATGATCCCTTCCTTCTTCCAAGTCTATGTCAGTCTGGAAGTTCCAGTGAAACCTGCTCACCATGAATGACCCTGCTGGTGTTTGAAATAGTGGTGGCATAGTCTCTCCAGCCTCACAGCAACACACAAGCCTTCACAGGATGACAAACTGACAGACAAGTGGTGGAAAGTAGAATGTAGAACAATTTTTTTGTGTAATATGTTAAGCCAAATGAGTTTGATGTCCCCCATGACCATGATCCTGAGCCTGTGGGCTGTGACTCACTCCCTCAGGGTGTTTGGCCGTGGCTAAGAAGTTATTATAACTTTGCCCCATTAGCTCTATTATATATATGGACATTCTTATATCACATACAAATACATATGTAGAAATATTGTCTGCCGAACTTATATGTGGTCATGGGCATAGTCCCTTTTGCCTAGACATACCTGATCATTTAGCCTGTCTAAGCCACTCCTTAGGAGCTCTGGTAGCATAGTGCCTAGGGCACTTGACTGCTAACCAGAAGGCTGGCAGTTCAAACCCACCAGCCACTCCTCAGAAGGA